ACTCTATTTATACTTTTAGACGCAGGAGAAGCGACGCTACGATCGTCGTATGTGTATTGTCGTCTGTATTCACGTTAAATGTTAGAATTTGGGCGTTTTTTGTAATATGTTTGAATTTCTATTGATTTTGATTAAAAATTATTTGAAACAATCAAAATGCCAAACCAAATCGTAAGAAAATGTAATCGAAAAGCGATATTTCTTTGTACGGAGGAGACAGTTTTGGCGCGCATTTTGTGTTCGATGCGGTAGTGGGGACGACGCATGAAGTGTATAAATACGGTGACGCTTCAGTAGCAGGCATCAGTTCGTTTTTGTCTTTCGTCGAGTGAAGAACATACTACAAACTTAATCAAGATGACCGGTCGTGGTAAAGGAGGAAAGGGATTGGGAAAAGGAGGCGCAAAACGTCATCGTAAAGTGTTACGTGATAACATCCAAGGCATCACCAAGCCAGCCATTCGTCGATTGGCTCGTCGTGGTAGTGTCAAGCGTATCTCCGGCTTGATCTACGAGGAAACTCGAGGTGTGTTGAAAGTATTCTTGGAGAACGTCATTCGTGATGCCGTCACATACACCGAACACGCCAAGCGAAAGGGTTGCAATTGATTCAATTGGAGGGTAAAGACAAAACGGTATCAGTAGATTCGATATTACTTCAAAGAGCAATTGCCACATCCATGCATATTTGGAATAAACTTGTTTTTGTTAGCATTGTTGTGCTCTATCTCAGTGCAATCAACTGTTCGATACGTTTGCCAATAGAAAATGTTCATGAATTTTTGATTAAATCATAATGCATTTGATAGACATAGAAACGATTATTGTTTCTTCAGCGTTTACTAATTAATAATTCTCAACTAATTCTGTTCGCACTGTGTCTAATTCTAATTATATCATGAATTGTTGTGAGCAATATCGCAACAGAAGAAATATTTGCGCGATGAATACTACGTGAAAATCGCTTACGCTTCAATGTCATGAAAGTGTCAATCATATTGCAATTGTACAATCACACGCTGTATTTGAGTGAAAAAGAAGCACACAACTTCTGAGAACAAAGAAAACAAAGTAAAATGTGCACACAGTCAAACAAAACAGTTAGTTCTGTATCTGTGTGTTTCATGCAATGGAGAATTTCTTCTCATTTCTGTACACGATTGAGACAAAATGGCTTACACATAAATACACGATCTGTCACTACGAATGTTGGTGATTTGCACACTTCTCACAGAAAATATTTCAAACAAATACGTTCAACACTTGCCAAACTCGCAAAAAGCATCGAAAATGATCTTCGCACTCACTCAATTCACCTATGAAAGTCAAATAAATGATAGTTTTTGATTTCAGATTTATTTAATTTTCAACTGAAAAAATGGCTCATTGGTTTTGATTTTTGGATGATTGAAAGAGTATAAATGATTGATAAATCCGTTGAAACTTTTTTCATAATGAAATGAAATGGGTAAAATTGTAAAATAATGATAAACAAGTTACAAAGTTGAAACTTTGTATGGAATTTTTCAAATTCTTCATTAATTATTGTTTGGTGGCCCTGAAAAAGGCCGTTTTTTGTATGATTTTCGGGGAAATGCAGAGAAATTATTTCAATTCAATTCAATTTATTTCTCTGCCAAGTACTGGCTGTCTTAGGTGAATACAATATAGGATACAATATTTTTATTTTAGTTAATTAATTAGTTAGTTAATTAATTTAGGTAGGTAGTGTTAGAAACGTTTAAGGCAAATAATTGCTTTTCTTTTTGGCAATGTTAGATTCTTGTTACGAGTTGGTGTATTTGATGACAGCCTTTATTCCTTCAGTCCTTGCGTGCCTGGTCAATTCTCGTGGCAACAAGAGACCGACAGCCGTATGGATCTCGCGACTGGTGATGGTCGATCGTTTGTTGTAGTGCGACAAACGAGAAGATTCAGCGGCGATACGCTCGAAGATGTCGTTGACGAAACTGTTCATGATTGACATGGCCTTGCTGGAGACACCAGTGTCTGGATGAACTTGTTTCAACACATTGAAGATGTAGATAGCGTAGCTCTCCTTCCGCTTGCGTCTCTTCTTCTTTTCTCCCTTCGAAATGTTCTTTTGCGCCTCACCGGCTTTCTTTGCTGCCTTTCCGCTGGTTTTCGGTGCCATTGCTAATGTTTATCGGTTGAGTGATGAACACGAACTGAATGCTCGCACTGGAACTGTGCGCTCTTATATAGCGCTTCAGTGAGTGGATGACGTCAGCGATTCGAAATTCTAAGCTCCGCCCATTTCGTCGAGTGTGCCATACTGTGAAAGGTATAAAAGGGACACGCAGCGCTGTACGAGCATCACTCTGTTTTCGTGTGTCGTACGAGTAACAAGCAAAGAGAAAAGCATAATCAAAGATGTCTGGACGTGGTAAAGGAGGCAAAGTTAAGGGAAAGGCAAAGTCACGCTCAAGCCGAGCTGGTCTTCAGTTCCCAGTCGGTCGTATCCATCGTTTGTTACGTAAAGGAAACTACGCCGAACGTGTTGGAGCTGGTGCACCAGTGTACTTGGCTGC